CGTTTTTCACCAATTTCAGTTCTCTGGTGGTTTATTGGAGATAAGAGTCTTGTGGACTTTCCTGCCCAGGCTGACTTTGAACCACGATCCTCAGATCTCAGCCTCCTGAGTAGCTAGGATTACAGGCTGAGCCACTGGCGCCCAGCCTGCAGTTGTTTTTTTTTTTTTGACAGAAGAACCTGACAGCTTATGCCAGTCTTCAGCTTTAATTCATGCCTTCAGGTCTTCAGGCTTTAGTTCATGGTAGCAGACGTGCTCATGGTTGAAACAGAAGGGCACCTCCCTTCAGTGTATCTGAAGGGTATCTGAATGGTATGTTTGAAATTTGATTTTGGAAAATCTTTGGAATGTTTGTTCTTTGTTCTAGTTGTTGAGTAAATTTCTTAGCTTTACTTTAGATACTTTTTTTAATATTGTAGGATTCAGTTGTCTGTTACAGTTTAACAGAACCAACAATAGCAGTTTTATATTTGGTACAACAAATTACTATTGCATGAATGGATTCCGTTTCTTTTTATTTCTACTGCAATGTAGAAATACTGCATTCTGCATATGAAGAACTTCCAGTGAAAACCGAAACACTGTTCATACACACACCTAAAATGTTTGCATTTTCTTAGCTACAGTTTCTAAGATAGCAAACAAGTTGCTGTATTGAGTGATTTGAGTTCATAGCCTTTGGTTATCAATTTTGTTATAAAATACATTTTTACTTATATGCATATCCTACTTAGAAAGCCATTCCTTGCCACTTGATAGAATCAGAAGAATTGGATATAGCTGAGAAATGGTTTTTGGATAGAGAGATAGCAAACAGCCAGCTAGGATGGCTGAGGGAGTCTCTTCTTGTTCTTTTGTTGTTGTTGTTGTTGTTAGTCACGGGGCTTGAACTCTGCCTGGACGCTGTCCCTCAGCTCTTCAGCTTAAGGCTAGTGCTCTATCACTTGAGCCACAAAACTACTTCTGGCCTTTTCTGCTTATGTGGTGCTGAGGAATCGAACTCAGGGCCTCATGCATGCAAGGCAAGCACTCTGCCACTGAGCCATCTTCCCAGCCCGGGAGTCTCTTCTTTTATAGTCACTTTCTGTCTTTTTTTCCCTCTGCCAAGTCAGTCCCTTTCTTTCATAGTGACTAAGATGGCCTAGGCATCAGAATAACTCAAAAGGGAATCAGAGCAGATAAATAAGACTGCAGTCCTGGCCATTATGCTGAATCCACCAGTCTCTAGACATTTTCTTGCTCCTAAGCAGGGATTTGTGATTACGAACTTCTTGTTTAGATTGTTATTGCTTTAAAAATAGTTTTAGAGCTAAATCATACCTTTCTCTTGCAGTTATACAGATGGACTCTACCCAATTGTAAAGTGAGACATCACATTAAATTATTCACAAACTTGAATAATTGTGGCAGGATACACGTCACAATTATAAACAATACAGAAAATACATTGTGATTTCTTTTTAGATTCTGAGGCAACAAACAATTGGATAAAACACTTGGTGAGAGCTAGGGAAAGTTGACCATTACTAGATATGCATGGCAAGGGTAGGAGCTATTCACTGTGGTTGTAAGAATATTTTAGGACTGAGGTGGATTAGAATTGCCAACTCCTGGTAATAATACACCAGACTTTTAGTTAGTTTCAGTGTAGTTTAAAAATATCTTACACATATATGCTACTTTTTGCCTGCAGTGGCTGGGAAGAAATGTGTCTCTAACTTCCATGAGAATGCCCTGGGAGAGCCTCTTTAAGGTGAAGTTTATTTGACAGTTAGGGAGAGGGACTGCAATAGGAATCACTTCTTTCAGCACTGATGTTTTCATCAGAGGTGGTGAATGGTGAAAACATGATAGCAACAAAAGACTGGGTACTAGGGATGTTGTACTTGACTGAACTTGGAGAGTCAAAGCTGGGAAGGAAGCACAGGCAGTAGGAGGGGATCCCCAACCAAATTTTACTTTCTAAAACTAAGGACTATACAGATTGTATCAAACCCAACTCCTGTGTTTTAAAACTAAGTAAGTGACTGTTTCATAGTGAATAGATAAAATTGCAAATAATGTATATTCTGTTAAATTTCATCCTGCATCTGTTTTAGAAGTTCAGTGTTTCAGCCTGTGGAGCTATATTTTGGTGTCAGTTTTGTTACTTATTTACCTATGTCTTGTGCATTCATTACTTATTCCTGAAAGCTTGTGTCTTGAGTCAGGACCTATAGTGGACTGATTATGGTGACTCATGATCATAGTGAGCTGATAATATTGCTAGTTTGTAGTTTGAGACTCTTATCTCCAATTAACCACCAGAAAACCAGAAGTGGAGCTGTGGCTCAAGTGGTAGAGTGCTAGCCTTTTTTTAACTGTATTTTTTTTGTCTTTTCTTTTTTTGGTACTGGGGATCGAACCCAGGATGTTGCACTTGCTAGGCAAGTGCTTTGCTACTGAGTTACATCCCAGCCCTAGAGTGCTAGCCTTGAGCTGAAAAGCACAGGGACAGTGCCCAGGCCCAGAGTTCAAGCCTCACGACTGACAAAAACCAAAACAAAAAATAACAGCAATAAGATCCAATCAACGTTCATTGAAACTGCTACAATATATTTTAAAGAAGTTACAAGGTGCAGCCATCTACTAAACTTTACTTGACGAAGAAAAGACATTAGTTTAACTTTCACTATGTTGATGATCAGCCAGAGCTCTCCAGAATAATAGAATTAATATATTCAGCATATGTGTCCTTAAAAAGAGTTTTAAGATATTAGTTCATTCAATTAAGGAAAATGTGCAACATTTTGCAATGTCCAGCATGCTGAAAATTCAAGTAGCAGTTGATTCTGTAGTCTTGATGCAGAATCCTTTCATTTCTGAAAAATAAGAGCTTTTGCTCATTATACCTGCAACTGATTAGATGAGTCCTACTGATATTACCTACATTATTAACCTTCTGTAGATATTAACCACATGTGCAAAAACACACTTCAGGCAAAATAAACTTTTCACACCTCAACTAGTGTTTGATTAAATAACTGGGTGAGGTCAAATAGTCATGTTGATATGAAACTAACCTAGAGCATTTTAAATACCTTTGGTATATTATACAAAGGTGTGACATGCAAAGTATTGCATAGTGATTAGGAAACAGGAAACTGAATATTCAGTCCTTGCCATCCTTTGAAATTTATTTTCTCTTACTTACTTGTGCTATTAATGCTTTACATTTAAAAAGTCTTAAGTCATTTAAAAAGTTCAAGTTTTCCCATTGTTTATGCTATATATGTATGTGTGTGTGTATATATATATATATATATATATATATATATCACATCAAATATTCTTAGAGCTAGGAATTAGTTTGGGGCTTATTTAGTCTAATTCCCCTCATTTATGTTTGAGATACTGGTTCCAGAAGGATGAGTGATTTGCCCAGGTAACACAGCTAATAAAGAACCAAGATTAGACCCCTCAATCTCTTGATTTCCAGTTCACAGAGTCTTCTCTGGTACCAGAGTGATTGTAGTTAAGTGAAGCCAGTCTTGGTGGGCAAGCTTTCTAAGGAAAAAATGACTTTGAGTCTCCTTTTAAAGTAGTATAAGTGGATACATAAGAAAAAGGAGGTTGCTGAGCGCCGGTGGCTCAGGCCTGTAATCTTAGCTACTTAGGAGGCTGAGATCTGAGGATCATAGTTCAAAGCCAGCCGGGGCAGGAAAGTCAGAGAGACTCTTATCTCCAATTAACCACCAGAAAACCGGAAGTGGTGCTGTGGCTCAAGTGGTAGAGCGCTAGTCCTGAGCTGGAGAGCTCAGGGACAGTGCCCAGGCCCAGATACTCTCTCTCTCTCTCTCTCTCTCTCTCTCTCTCTCTCTCTCTCTCTCTCTCGCTCGCTCGCTCGCTCGCTTGCACGTGCACACACACACACACACACACACACACACACACACACACAAAACAAAGTGGTGATGCTCACTGTCATGTAGGGAGAATGAGTAGAAGGAAATAGGATGTGAGATGTCTACATGGATGACATATGTTCTGAGACACACAGTGCTACTCATGAAGCTTAGAACAATTTTGGAAGTAAATATAGGCTACCCACAAGATGATTCATAGGGGATATTCCCATAGACCTTAAGGACAGAGAATGCAAGGACCAAGAGAAGTTATCTCAGGTTAAGGTAGAGAAACACAGTGCTGATAAACTCAAGAGCTCTGTGTGTAACATAGGTTAGGAATTTGGAAACCCTCTCAGAACTTCCCAGATTCTTGAGGGCATTGTAAGAGCTAAGTAGTTCCCCAAGTTTAGAAAGTTGTCAGATTTCAGGTGTGAATTTTGGCTGAATTCTGGTTATGATAGTGCCATTTGAAGATCAGTTGCAGTCTCAGAACAATTAAGAGAGATGTTGGGTAAGTTTTATATAAAGCCCTTCGGCATTCTGCCTTACTGGCAAAATTAGCATCATACACCCACTGCACATAGTCTTTGTAGTAACCAGTGATTTCCCTCCTATAGCTAGCCTATAGGATTAATGTATGTGATTAATACAGGGTAAAGTGTGGAGTGACTGGTAGACCTAATCTCAAGGTATATTATATAAGTTATATATACTTTAAAGCAAAGTAAACTCAAAGAATTAACAAGTGGCTTAATATACATAGGTTATATGTTTATTTTTTTCTATGACTTTTATTAGCATACATTTGTTACACAAGGAGAAGTTTCATTGTGACATTTTTATTTCTATAATGTGAACAATATACCCTTACCCTGTCAGCTTCACTCCCTCTGTTACTCTTACTTATCCCTGAGTTTACTTTTTTACTTTTTACTTCAGATCCATCTTTCTTCCCTCCCTTCCTTTCTTCTCCCTTCCCCTCTCCTCTCCTTCCTATCCCCCGTTCTTCTTCCCTCCTTCCCTCCCTTCTTCCTTCCCTCACTCCCTCCCTCCCTTCATCTAAGAGAGCATGTTTCTTTTTCTGTAGGAGTTCAGAAGAGGAGGAAGAATAATGGAAGAAACAGAAAACAGGATCTTTGACAAACAGGTACAGCTACTTCTTGGGTTTTCCCTTCTCCAGATCCTTAAATAATCACCATACACACACACACAAACGCACACGCACACACTCGTATGTACATAAGTTACCCTCCCCATATAGACATACACATATGTACATACATATACTTGCATTGCTTGTTTAAATATACTCTTAAGTGTGTGTGCATGCGTATGTGCGCACGTGCACACGCGCATGCGTGCGTGCGTGCGTGCGTGCGTGCGTGCGTGCGTGTGTGTGTGTGTGTGTGTGTGTGTGTTTTATTTTTGCCTGTCCTGGGGCTTGAACTCTTTGCCTGAGTGCTGTCCCCGAGCTTCTTTTTGCTCAAGGTGAACACTCTACTACTTGAACTACAGCACCATTTCCAGTTTTTTTTTAGTAGTTTATTGGAGATAAGAGTCTCATGGAGTTTACTGCCCAGGCTGGCTTTGAACCAGAATCCTCAGATCTCAGCCTCCTGAGTAGCTAGGATTATAGGCATGAGTCATTGGTGCCCGGCTTAAATATACTCTTTATGAAGTATTTCTCACCCCTTATTTGTGGTTTACTATCTTCCAACTTGCCATTAGAGAAATGCTTCTAATTTACATGTTGTCAAATTATGAGGTTTCCCAGGGAACTTGTTTTTCTTTTTCAGAATAGTAATACATGTTATTGGATGAAATTTTCCTGCAAAGGAAAAAAAGTCACCAGTGAACACGTCCCTCTGGTTGGAAATGTTGTTAAGATGGCTCATACTTATTGTCCATATATTACATGCCCAGCAGTGCTAGGTATTTAGTATCCTATCAAGTGCTCACAACAATTCTTGTAGAAGGTAGATATTTGGACAGATCAAGTTCTTTGCCTCAGTTGCTACTACCATAATACCTAAAATACTTTTTAGAGTTTGCAGCATACATGCTGATTCTAGATTTTCATTTGTGCACTTTTAGAAGTTGTATTCCCTTGTTTTAGTTCAAACTTTTGTTAAATCAGTCAGTTTATTATTGATCAGGATTTTTCAGGGATGGCACTGTAATGTGGCACCCAATGTAGCTGAAAGTAGTATGTGCTTTGGAAATAACCTCTGCCTGGATAAGAACAATAGCGCAGGAGAGGTGGCAGTTAATGTTGGAAGCTAGTCACATAAAAATTCATTTCTATTGGAATGCAAGGCTGGAACATTTCTCATATTACAGCATGCTGCAGGGCAGGGCTAGAATCCAAGCTTTGATTAAAATCACCCCAAACTCTTTTTTTCTTTGCTTTACAACCACAAGTTATTGCCAGCTGAAAGGGATAATGGAGGGTAATGATGAATTCATTTCCATCTGCTGCAGATTTTTTTTAAGACCGTCTTATACTTTCTAAACCTAGATAAAAAGGCCACTTTGAAATGGGAGTAAATTAATGGCTACCAAGTAAGTAGTTATTAGATTTCTGCCCTAGAAGCTTGCCCAGGTGGTGCTGAAGACTGTTGCTGCTGATGAGCTGTTCATAGTTCCTCCTGGGGATGAGAGTAGGGGGTGGAGATGAGGAGGAGAGTGTGAGTAGGGAGAGTAGGGATGAGGGTGGGGAAGTGTAGATGTGGGGAGGAGATTGAGGGTAGGGGTAGAGGAGATCGGGATGTCATAAGAACTCAAGAATTGCCGGGCGCTGGTGGCTCACGCCTGTAATCCTAGCTACTCAGGAGGCTGAGATCTGAGGATCGCGGTTCAAAGCCAGCCCGGGCAGGAGAGACCGTGAGACTCCTATCTCCAATAAACCACCAGAAAACCGGAAGTGGCGCTGTAGCTCAAGTGGTAGAGTGCTCGCCTTGAGCTGAAGAGCTGAGGGACAGCGCCCAGGCCCAGAGTTCAAGCCCCATGACCAACCAAAAAAAAAAAGAACTCAAGAATTGCATCTTTCCTTTGCTGTTTTTATTCTTAGGTTTTAGATATAGATACTACTTTCTCAAGGAATGGATTAAAAAATGTCAAATGCATCAATTTCTATCAAAGTCATATATCAAAACTCCAGGTTGCACACTAAAAAGGTTCCATTTTTATTTTTGCTTAAATATATTGGTGTACCAACGGAGGGCCTTCTGCTTGCTAGGCAGCTGCTCTGCTACTTGAGTCATGCCCAAGACTCTTTTTGCTTTACTTATTTTTGATTTGGTTTTGCATTTTTGCTCAAGGCTGGCTTCCAAAGGCAGTCCTCCTTCCTGTGCCTTTCAGTGGCTGGGATGACAAATGTGTTCCAAGTAAGTGTGTACTTATTTGTTGGCATGAGAGTCTCTCTAACATCATCAGGGTTGGCCTTGAACCCTTGATTTCCATCTTCTGAGCAGGGGAGATAACAATCATAAGCTACTGTACTTGTCTAATATGTGCAGTTTTTTAATTTGTAGTTTTCAAAATTAATTTTGGAAAAGGTCAAATGTATATTGAACTTTTGGGGTTACCTGCAGTAGACCCTTAGAGAACCAGCTCTTTGGAATTGCTTATGTTGCTAATACATTGTCACACAGTTGCCATATCCCACAGCAGTCATACCATTTGGGGGTATAAGGTTGATGGTTTTTAATTTCTTTTTGACTGTACTGTGGCTGATTAACTCTCCTCATTGTCTCTTATGGTCATTTTAGCAACAGTGTATCATAGAAATATGTTATTAGTCCCGTAATACTATAACCTGATTATTAGCAGTTAGAGTGCTGGGTTCAATTAAGTACAGTGGAAGTCACCTTTACACTAATAATTTTTTGATGATTTAATTTGTGGCTGCTGATGGTTTTCAGGCTATTGTATTTGCTGAATACTGTATGATGGAATTGCCTACTCCCTCAAGAAGTAGGTAACTAAAATGGAATTTCTTTTTTTTTTTTTTTAACATTTTAAACATTATTTATTTATTTATTTATTATTGTGAAAATACCATATAGAGGGGTTACATGGGCAAGGTAATGAGTACATTTCTTATCAAGCATTGTTGCTTCCTCCTTTGTTTCCCCTTCCCATCCCCTCCATGCCCTTCCCCCCCATGATACCCCCCATATGCCAAAGTTATAAAGTTCGTTTTTCGACATAACGTCTTATATATCTCATTGTTGGAATGGGTCCACCTTCCCCGCCACAAATTATACCAACATCAAATACAGTGAAAACAGGGGTTGTACCATGGGGGAGGGACATACAAAGCAACAAAGAAATAATTTTTAAATATATTTGAAACAATAGCAAGAAAGAAAAAACATTTGAGTCCTTATCTTGGGGTTCATTTCGCCTAACATAAATTCCATAAAACGGAGTTTCTTTAACCACTGTTTTGGTAGTTTTTTTTTTTTTTTTGTCAGTTGTGGGGCTTGAACTCTGGGCTTGGGCGCTGTCCCTGTGCTTTTCAGCTCAAGGTGAGTGCTCTGCCGCTTGAGCCACAGCCTCACTTCTAGTTTTCTAGTAATTTATTGGAGATAAGAGTCTCATGGACTTTCCTGCCCTGGCTGGCTTTGGACTGTGATCCTCGGATCTCAGCCTCCTGAGTAGCTAGGATTACAGGCATGAGCCACTGGTGCCCAGCTTGTTAAGGTACTTTTTGATGTTTCTGTTGGCATCTTGTAAAAAAAAAAAAACTTAAGGTTAAAAAAAAAGTATAAGGTAACTAACAATTATTAACTATTTACTCTGTGCTAATCACTGTGCTAAGTGTTTTACATGTGTTATGTCTAATTTAATCTTCACTCGAATCCTATTAAGGGCCATTATGCCAATTTTACAGAGACAGAAATGGAGGGTTATAGAGGCTAAATAGCTTGCCCAAGTTACACACTAATTATTAGAGCTGAGATTTGAATCCAGCCAACCTGACTTCAGGGACTCAGTTTTTACTGACTCTGGTACTCATCAAACTGATCCTTCTGTTTTATGTATAATACAGTCTTATGTGTGAGTTCCACTCACTCTCCTGGGTCATTTTCTATTAGAATCTGTGTATATGTGCAGGATTTTCCATTCCCATTGTAATTAAAATTTCTTCTTAAGTTTTAGTGCTTGCCAGTTGGTCTCTTGCAAAACATTTGTAGCTTTTAGCATTCCTATTTCAGATAAGAAGACCATGTCATCTTGGTGATTATAGAAAATTCACCTTATGTTATTATATGTTGTTTTCACCAAGTATAGTCAGAAAAATAGAGAATTGAAACAAAATTTTAATACAAAATTTAAATGCTGGTATACCTATTTCACAACTAGTTGCTGTGGAGAAAAACTCAGTCCTGTCAGGCTATAAATCTGCCTATTCAGGAGGCAGACACTGTATTTGAACTTAGGGCCTTTCACCGGCTACGTAAGTGTTCTACCACTCCACCTATTCCTCTAGTTCTTTTCCTTTTTTGAGACTCCTTTTTTGGGGTCTCATGTTTTTGTCTAGGTTAGGCTGGTCTTCAGTGCTCCTAACTTGTGCCTCCTTCTTAGCTGGGATGACAGGTACACATATTACACCTGGCTTTTTAACCAATGGAGATGGAGTCTTACAACCTTTCCCCACCCCCTCTCCCCCCTCCAGGCTAGTCTCGAACTACTACCCTTCTAATCTCTACCGCCAGAGTAGTTGGTATTACAGATATGAGCCACTCTACCCTGCCTTAGAGTATAAAACTACTTTCTAAATATATTCAAAATAAACTGATTGTCAAATATGTCCCTCACAGATTATAACATCACCCTCACCTCCACCCAAAACTTATAATTACTTTGACTAGTGGTACAGAGGACTACCTACAACTTAAGTGTTTCTTCCCAGTTACCATTGTTTCACACATATCAGCTATATGATGATTTGCTTTTTAGTTTTATCCCTCTGTGAGACATCATATCGGGTGGTCTCTTGGGATGGTTGCTTTTCTGTCTCTCTGTATTGGGCCTCAAGTTTTGACAGTTTTTACCCTATTTGTACAAGGCCATAGTCCTTCCCCATTCTGCCCCATGAGCCGAATAAAAAATAAGTACTTTGTGCTTTTTTTTTTGGAAGTATTTCTGCCCTTGTAACATTTATTATATTGCATTTCTGGCTTTGCCATATATTTTTAAAAAGATTTAAATTGTATTCAGTATAGTACAGCTTTTTTTTTTTTTTTTTTGTGCCAGTCCTGGGGCTTGAACTTAGGGCCTGGGTCCTGTCCTTCAATTGCTTGAGCCACAGCTCTACCTCCAGCCTTTTTTTCTTTTTCTTTTGTAGTTAGTTGGAGATGAGAGTCTCACAGACTTTCCTGCCTGGGCTGGCTTCAAATCATGACTTTTTCTTTTTCTTTTTGTCGGTTGTGGGGCTTGAACTCTGGGCCTGAGTGCTGTCCTCAGCTCTTCAGCTCAAGGCTAGTGCCCTAACACTGGAGCCTCAGCGCCATTTCCGGTTTTCTGGTGGTTTATTGGAGATAAGAGTTTCATGGACTTTCCTGCCCGGGCTCGCTTTGAACCTCGATCTTCAGATCTCAGCTTCCTGAGTAGCTAGGATTACAGGCGTGAGCCACCGTTACCCAGCTTCAAATCATGATCTTTAGATCTGTTTCCTGAGTAGCAAGGATTATAGGAATGAGCCACTGGTGCCCGGCCCAGTAGAGCATTTTTTAGGTGATCAGCCCCCAGCCAGAATGAAGCCACATTGTCACTTGCTTGCTTAGTGTATTTGCCATTTACCCTGACAGGTGAGGAATGTGGAGATGCCTTTGGGTATAATTTACTCTAGTGTGTCCATTGCTAGTAACTGTCAAACCTCTTCCATTGAGAGTCATAAGAAATACACATTTGTTTGAAAGAGAAGCTCTAAATGGCTTCCAGATATTTAAACATTCCCCTTCCTGGAGCCTTGTACCCAACTGCCTTGTTGAAGAAAACTCTGAGAACCTATCTGGGCCTTGAACTCAGGATCTTTTGCTGGCACTTAGCTTTTTCACTCATGACCACTCTTTCATTTCAGCTACATCTCAATATAGCCTTTTCCCCTGGTTAATTAGAGGTAAAGGGTCTCTCAACTGCCTGGTCTGGCTTCAAACAGCAAACCTCAGATCTCAGCCTCCTGAATAGCTAGGATTAAAGGCATGATTCACTGGCACCTGGCTTGAGAATGAGTCTTTTAACCAGCCTCTAAATATTGTTTTCCTTTGTACTTTATTCTAAGGTAATCAGGCTTTCTGAATTGCTTGCTCAGTGTCTGGTGTGCCAGGCCACAAGCTCAGGTCGGAGCTAGAACTCTAAGAAGATTTATGGCATGAAGGCTACAATTACCATGAACATGTCAAGACTTATTTGTATTGGAATCTCTGCAAAGTTTGTTCTGAGGACATAGCATCTTAAAGAAGATTTAAAAAAGATGATATCCCTACTTAATCAGTTTTCTACAAGTGAGTTTTTAAAAAATGTGTTTCTGGAAGTATGTTAGGCTTAAAAATACAACTTTAAAAAATGTCTGTTAGAGTTTTCTTTCATAGGCTTAGTTCTTTTTTTTTCTTTGAACAAAAACAATTATTTGCCACTCAGAATGATGTGTGTGCTGTTTTTTCATTTAGCAGTAACTTTTAGGGGAACATCCAGAAGCAGAAAATCATGTGAGAGCAGTGATTTTTATGGTCTTGTTTCCATATAATCTGTACTATATTACCTACATAAGCTATTTTGCTTGTTTACTAAATATTCCTAAAGATAGCATTTTAGTTGAAATGGTGCTTAAACGACATTTTTTTGATTAATGTTAATGTTAGGTACTAGTTTTGTAGCAGGTGGTGTTAATTTGGTGTTTTTGGCTGTAGTGCTCCTCAGTGCTGATAGAAGAGATGAGCATTGGAAGGGAAACAATGGCATGCTTTGTGAGCAGTGATGTTGGGTAAGGACTAAGTACATTCATTTGCACAGCCAGTATAAACTCCAGATTGATATTTCTGTGCCTTTCCCTTAAGTGGCCCATGTGACTTGGTGAATATCACTGACTTGATCTTCAAGTCTTGCAAACTACATAACTTGTCCATGAAATCAAGCAGCTGTTTCAAAGGACTCATTGTAAGTCAATTGAATTTTTCTTTCTTTGGGCCATTGCAATGAATAGAAGATTGTGTAATTTTTGTGTGGATATTGAGACTTTTTCCCCTCTCTCCCTTCCTTTCTTTTTCTTCCTTCCTTCCGCCTTTAAAAAAGTGAGTTTCAGTGCTAAGATTTCTGCAGTGTTTTTTTTTTTAAAGTAGAAAACTTAAAAAAAATGTTATTATAAAGGTGATGTACAGAGGGGTTACTGTTTCATAAATCAGTTGCAGTGATTTTTTTATTCATCTTCTTTACACATTCCCTGCCATTTCCAGTTAGCTTTTGGCTGAAGCTAATCAGCTCTTTCATTTTTATAAAACCAAACCCTCTGTGATATTTGGTGACTGTTTTTCAGAGATGGCAATCAACATCTGAAATTGTGACTTCTGCATCATTTTAGATCTGGTCATCATTCATCTAGAATAAATCTAAGTTTGTGAAGCACCTATGAGAGGCACAAGGATTTGGATGCCTACAATGTGTTCAACACATTTTCTATTCAAATTGCTTGAAAGCTTTATTTCTTTTGCAGCAAAAGAAATAAAGTTGAGTAGAACCTTAGTATATCAATAGCCTTCAATTATTGTGAAATGCTTTTCTTTTCTTTTTCTTTCTTTTTTTTTTTTGTCGGTCATGGGGCTTGAACTCTAGGCCTGGGCACTATCCCTCAGCTCTTCAGCTCAAGGTGAGCGCTCTGTGGCTTGAGTCACAGTACCACTTCTGGTTTTCCAGTGGTTAATTGGAGATAAGAGTCTCACGGACTTTACTGCCTGGGCTGGCTTTGACCGTGATCCTCAGATCTCAGCCTCCTGAGTAGCTAGGATTACAGGCGTGAGCCACCAGCGCCCTGCTTGTGAAATGCTTTTCTGATGAAGCTGGTTTGTTTCAATATTGAGAATTTCAACATTATTATTATTATTATTATTATTTTGTCAGTTGTGGGGCTTGAACTCTAGGCCTGAGTGCTGTCTCTCAGCTCTTCAGCTCAAGGTTAGTGCTCTACCACTTGAGCCATAGCACCACTTCCGGTTTTCTGAGCAGTTTATTGGAGATAAGAGTCTCATGGACTTTCCTGCCCAGACTGTCTTTGAACCATGATTCTCAGATCTCAGCCTCCTGAGTAGCTAGGATTATAGGCATGAGCCACCGGTGGCCAGCTTCAGCATTATTTTCTAGTGAGAAATACTAGTGTCTTTTAAGTATTGCATTTATCATTTTATGTATACACAAACATGTGGAATCATGAATTAAAGTTCCACATGTAATGACATGTAAAATATTGAGAGATTATTTCACAGGTAGTAGATCTCAAATTCAGTTAACAGTGTATACTAAATGCCTGTAATGGTTAAGGAACCATGTTTGAGACTGGGTATAGTTTATAACCAGTTGTAATTTCTTATCTCTTATCCACAAAAACCCTACAGCCTTTAGTTGCTAGGTGTAAGAATTGAAGTGGTTCAGATAAGAGAGATATTATCACAGGACAAAAATGTTTGTGAAACTTTATGACAAGTTGACCTGGGGCTGGATAGGATTTGGAGGCACAGAAGTGAAGTTCCTGGAATAACAAGTAGAGGGAGCTGGAGAGAAGGTGCAGAATTGCAGAATGTGTTTTAGGGTCTGATTTGGTTTAGTACGTGGACAAAAGTTCCTGGAATAACAAGTAGAGGGAGCAGGAGAGAAGGTGCAGAATTGCAGAATGTGTTTTAGGGTCCAGTTTGGTTTAGTACGTGGACAAAAGTTCCTGGAATGACAAGTAGAGGGAGCAGGAGAGAAGGTGCAGGATTGCAGAATGTGTTTTAGGGTCCAGTTTGGTTTAGTACGTGGACAAAAGTTCCTGGAATGACAAGTAGAGGGAGCAGGAGAGAAGGTGCAGGATTGCAGAATGTGTTTTAGGGTCCAGTTTGGTTTAGTACGTGGGGAAAAAAGATAAATAGTGGGGCACATAGAACATAGAATACCATCCTGAGAAAATGTGAAAGATTTATGAAATAGTGAAGTGATTGATTCATTCATCTGATAACCAGTTGAATATCAGTTAGGTGCCAGGTATCAACTAGGCAGAAGAGAGCACAGGCCTGGAGGGAACTAAACTTCCATGTTTAAGTCCTGATTTACTGCTTATTAACTGAGTAACCTCTAAGTTTCAAATGTTCATTGATAAGTTTGTCTGTTTTCAAATCACCAAGTCATTGAGTTTTATGAAAATTTTGGATGTTCAAGGTCTAAGAAACTTTTCTAAGAACTTCCTGTTTTGGTTATTGACCATATGATTTGTAAGCAATTATGTAATCATCGCTAACAGACATTTTAGTATTCACATAGAAGTATTTCAGCAGAGGGATTAGAGGTGCAGCTTAGTGGTAGCACTAAGCTTACACATACGACGAGCTTTTGAAAATGTAGGATTGATTTAACTAAGTTGATTTATTTGGATACTGTTAAGTTTAGCTTTAATTAATTAATTGATTGTAAGTCTTAGGGCCTGAACTCTGGGCCTGGGTGCTCTCCCTCAGCTCTTCAGCTTAAGGCTAGCAGTCTACCACTTGAGCCACAGTGCCACTTCCGGTCTTTTCTGCTTATGTGGTGTTGAGGAATGCAACAAAGGGCCTCATTCATGAAAGGCAAGCACTTTACCACTGAGCCACCTTCCCAGCCCATAAGTTAAATTTAAATATAAGTTAAGTTGAGCATTTTTAGTTTATAATTTAAGTAAGTTGAAATGAAAAAAACAAAAGCATTCCAGAATTCCTCTGAATATCCTTGTACCCATGTCTGAGGCTATAGGATAACCTTCAGGGTTTTTGTTTGGCAACGCTGTATAACAATGTGGAGTGAGGAATGGCTGTTGCAAAGGAAGGTGGAGATCTGCTGGTTATTACTATTCATTTTTAAAATCAGAAATGAGTTAGAAAGCATGAGGGTTAGGCAGAATGACACCCTTCACAGCTCAATTTAAACAGAGGAGAGATGGATCCCAGCTAGACCTTGAGAGTCAACTTTTAATGGGATATTCATAAGTTAAACCTCATAGGAACTTGTATTTATGTGGCCAAAGTGTAGGGGGAATACTACTGTGGTTTTGATCTTGGGTTCATGGTATTTGATATTTGAATACCCCATCACTACCTTTTTGTTTCCAGTATTATGTATTACTATAATTTGCCTTTTGGTCTCTGATACTTTTGACCAGTGTAGTTACATTTTCAAACTCTGTTGCTAAACTTGTCTGTCACAGGAATGTGAGCAATGGGACTTGCCCTGAGCAGGATGTTGTTAAGGGCTTGGGCTTGTTGCTGTGCCTTGTTGTTTAGGATATCTGACCCTTTAGTTTGTTGAACACTTTGTTTATGTGACCCCTGCTTTGCCATGACTGTGTAGAACTGTGAAATGTTGTATGGGCTATCATTTCAGATGTTCAGGTTTGAATTCTGAATTCACTTGGCATGAGCCAAGCTTGCTTTTCCTTAAGAGACTTTTGGTGTAGTTAACCTAGATTTAGAAGTTTGAGTTTGGGTTTGAGTTTGTACTCTTTTTCTTATTATTTGCGTAACCCCAACAAAGAAATGTAGTTTCCCCTCTATTTTCTTGCTAGTTAAGAGAGAACAGTCATATTATTATAGGTTTTTGCCTTGAAGCTTCGAATGAGATTCCCAGGAAGCATTTTATAAAATTCCATAATTTATGTTTAAATATAAGGTGGCAGTGGAGGCATCCAGTGTGTCTTAATTATTGAATACAGACTTTGGAGCATTCATCTTCATCTGGTACCTTATTGCTACAATGTAGGCCTTGAAGTTGAAAGCTCAGTGAGGGCAGGATCTTGTCTGTTTTCTACCATTGCACCTCAAAAATTGTGCTGACTTCATTTTCTTTAATTCTAGATTAAATTTTTTGTTGGTTTTTCTATTTATATATTTTTTTAGAAGTTTGGTTATTCCTCTCCACCTCTGAAAAAGATGGTATAAACAGAATGTAGCAGCTTTTTCTGTAGCTGGATAGATAAGTCAACTCCCTGAACATCACAAAGGGAGAGGTTAGCAATAGATTTTCTTTTAGATCTATGT